ACTGTAAATGGTTGAAAATTTTTAATTTTTTAATGGAAAATTAATTAATTCATTTTGTTTCTTTTATTAAATGTTTAGTAATATATTTTATTGATTCGTTTCCTTTTATTATTTCTCTTATTCACTTAGTTTTTTTTTATTTAAAAATATTTTTGAAAAAAATTTAAGTTCAACTTATATATTCTCTACCGGGTATTTTGCTGGTCGAGCCATCAAATTTGTTTTGATTTTTGCCTCTCTGTCACACGTAACTCAATATTGCTTATGCATTTAATGCAATGCAATTCAATATATCTGACATATATATATAGATTATAATATATCTGATATATAGATATATGACATAAGATATCCCCATGTGTATTGCGTTTTCATTTTGAAGGCCAAGATCAAAGTCACAAGTTTATGTTTTTTTTTTTTATTTCTATTGGAATATATAGAAACAAATGTTCTACGCTGTATATATTTGCTTTCTAGATATATAGATATATTTTGTATGGATAATTTAAAATTTTAAATAATATTTCGTTTGTCGATTTGCCTTGCAAATATTCGCTTAACTCTCACGTCAATCTATATACATATAATATATGATGCATACATATATTGAGATACATTCAGCTTGTCTCAGCTATTTCCCGAAAATTTCAACGGATTTTCAAATACGAACAGAAAGTAATAAACATACATATAAACATATATATTATTTATCAGTTCACGTGAGCCATTTTCTGATTCTATTTAGCTTTCTCGAACTGAATACAAAGTTCAATTAGGTGAATTGGCTGCTTTAATATCAAAGATTTCCAATAACAAACGAACACCTAGATAGAAAAATTCCACTTTATATATTTCCGTAGCCCGGTTGTCATATTGAAAGTATCAATTATGCTGATTAGATAATTTAAATGAGCGTGGGAGTAGACAAGGGGCACGGGGTGAACGAATGAAATGCTTATCAACTGAAGCGTGCGACACTCTTGATAATAATATTTGACTGTTGTAAATTGGATTATAGACATATCGATCTAAGGTTACCAAATGTTATATGTCTTCGACATTTCGTCACCAATCGATCAATTGTAAGATTTTCTTCACTTTTATATACTTGATAGGCTATACAAATCAACAAATATTATATATATCGATATATATTCTATTTAAATGTTCAACGTAAATTTTTCGAGACTGAGCGAAAGTTCCCTGAGAGCCAAACGGCCTCAGGTATTATACAAGATGTATATGTTTATATATATACACACATTTTATTCACACAAAGAATTTTGTTAGATACACATGAAAAGTAAATATGAAAACAATAGAACAAAAAATACATTTTTTGCATTGTTTTCGCTTTTAAAATTGTTGTTGAAGATCTTAATTTTTTTTTTTTACTTTGGGGGGCAAATAGGATAAATGGGACATTATATTTGGATAAGTGCAAACGTTAAAGAACTAAATTTTAATTTCACATCAAATATTCTGTCTTATGCTCTACAGTATATTATGTGTATATATATTTTCAATGTTATTTTTCATACATTTTTATATATTTTATTA